ACTGTTGTTAATCAGGTTAACGTTGGGTACTGTTGTGAATCAGATTAACGTTGGGTACTGTTGTGAATCATATTAACATTGGGAACTGTTGTGAATCAGATTAACATTGGGTGCTGTTGTGAATCAGATTAAGATTGGGTACTGTTGTGAATCAGATTAACATTGGGGGCTGTTGTGAATCAGAGTAACATTGGGTAATGTTGTTAATCAGGTTAACGTTGGGTACTGTTGTGAATCAGAGTAACATTGGGTACTGTTGTTAATCAGGTTAACGTTGGGAACTGTTGTGAATCAGATTAACATTTATTGTTGTGAATCAGATTAACGTTGGGCACTGTTGTGAAACAGATTAACATTTACTGTTGTGAATCAGATGAACGTTGAGTACTTTTGTGAATTTGATTAACGTTGGGTACTGTTGTGAATTAGATTAACGTTGGGCACTGTTGTGAATTAGATTAACGTTGGGTACTGTTGTGAATCAGATTAACGTTGGGTACTGTTGTGAATCAGATTAACATTTATTGTTGTGAATCAGATGAACGTTGAGTACTTTTGTGAATTAGATTAACGTTGGGTACTGTTGTGAATTAGATTATCGTTGGGTACTGCTGTGAAACAGATTAACGTTGAGTACTTTTGTGAATTAGATTATCGTTGGGTACTGTTGTGAATCAGATTAACGTTGAGTACTGTTGTGAATCGGACATTCCTTTCTATAAATGGAGAGTCACTAGAAATAAGATCTACATTTTATAAAGAATTATTTTCATTCCTCTGATAATTAGGCCGAGGATGGTTAAACAGCAGGAGGTCGGGTTCGGAAACTGGATGTTTGGCCTCCTTCCTATTATACCAAGACTGAGGTCATTACTCATTTTCAGTTTTTAAAAATTTAATAAAAATATGTAAAAATGTTCTGTATTTAGCACCCTCCTGGATGAAGTTACAACTGCTCATGATCTGAAAAGGATTGCAATCTGCTTTAGTGCAATGTCAGCTATTATATCAGAAAAGGTAAGTAATGGTTTTAAATAATTATTGGATAAAGTTGTAAATGCCATCTCAGACAGACCTGTAAGTGTAGAATGTAGTAAATGATATGTATAGAGTATCTTTTCACTTCTTTAACATAAGCAATGCTTTACACCGGTATGATACGATGTTATGTATTGTACTACCTTTTTTGTATTTTACATACAGAGCGTTCCATATCATATTAGATTAGATTATTAGATTGATATGGGACACCCTGTATAAAGATGGTATGAAATAAACTGATGTGAGTAAATCTACAAAGTATAGGAAAAAGTGTATTTGCAAGAAAAAAATGAAGAAAT